ACCCCCAAGTGACGCCTTGGTTTCGGGTGTCTCAGCTGAAGGCTGTGGGACAGAACGGAGCTGGAGTGGGCACACACCACGCAGGGGCAATTCCCAAAGCCCAGAGCTTTGCTCCAGCTCGCTGCAGTCCGAGGGGAAACGCTCCCTGGCCGTGGCATGATTTAGAGGAGCGAGTTAAACAATTGCACATGAAGCTCTGGCAGACGTCATCGCCGGAGCTCTCCTCGCTCCCCCGAGTGTGGAAGGGATGAAGGGAGTGCACATGTTTACCGAGAGAGACCATGGGAGAAACGAAAGACATTGTTTTTCCAAAGGATTTCTTGGCTGTAAAAGACCTCCACCACCCTGTGGCTTCCCTGATGAAGGCCCAGCGTTAATTTGTTAAATCCACATCAAGTGCCCAGAGAACCCGTTGTTTATTTTTGCTAATTCAGCCGGCCGAGATCAAATTGGGGTTTTATTTGTTAAGGATAAACCTTAATTAATAAAAGCTATTTATTTGGCTAGAGCCGGCCGCAGCCTGAGGGTCAGATATGCCACGATCATTATTTCAAGTAAAACAAACCCAAAATGTCTCTCAACAGTTTGAAAAACGTAGAAACTTAGAGGGCTGAATTTATTTGTCTTAGGAAGAATTTACAGCTAATTCCCTCCAGGCTATTTCAACCCTTAAATTATACCCGAGAAGAAAAAAGGAGGAAAAAAATGCCATTCCAGGAGTAGTAGGGAAGTAAATGGTACAGCAGATTTGACCATTTTGGCTGGGGGGGTGTGAAAAATTTAAAGCTTAAAGGGTCTTTGGCAAACTGCTAGCAAATAAATGGAACGTGTGAAATAATTTAATGACAGAAAACGTTTCAGGGCCGTGGGGGCTGCGGTGCAGTGGAAAATGAAACACGTTGGAGGAGATGCAGCCTGGGCTTTTTGCGTGAGAGGGTTGAACTTGCTGCCTTATGGCCTGAAGAATGGGGGCATTTGCACCCCAAAGCCAAGTGGTAGAGTTGGAGTCAGTAAACTGTCCCAGGATGGGGCGGTGCTGATGGGGAGTGGGTTTGCAGCATCCCCTGGGGAAGAGTCAGGCTGGCAATGGCTGGAGTGAGCACTGGGGTAGCAGGGTGGTGCTGGGCACACACCACGCTCAGGATGAGTAATTTGCAAATAAACCCCCCAAACTGGGTGTCCAGAGGGGAGGCTGAGCGTGGCTGGCAGTACAGCCCATCCCCAAAAGGCTTCCCCAGGGAGGATCCCTGCCTTGTTTCCGGGGCCAGGCAGGTGAGCTGCTGGGGTTGTGGGTGCTGCTGGACCTGGATCACAGCTGAGGCCACTTACTGTGCACTAATGGAGCTCCTGAGTCAAACCCAAAGCCTTGGTGGAAGTCGAGTGAAAATTGCCTCTTTAGAGTGCTCAACAGCAGCTGTGGGAGGCTGGGGGCCCTGCCAGTGTAAGGGCAAGCCCAGCACAAAGGCTGAGACCCACCTGAGACCTGTGGAAAACTGATGGAAGCACAGAGGGAAAAGGCAGCAGTGGAGAAGGGGGCTTGGTTGGTGCCCAGCTGAACCAGCACAGCTCTGACCTGGGGGTAGTGTTGCTTTTGCTCCCAAGTTCTCCCTGTGGCACCGTCCAGGCTTGCCAGCACTGGTGCTCCCACAGGGAGAAGGTTTGGGGGTGACTCCCAGCACCCCATGGCATCTGTAGGGCACGGGGCTGTCCCCAGGCTCTCTGCAGCTTTTGAGCAGCACTGCCCGAGGCAGGACAGCCCAGAGAGGAGGCTGGAGGTTACCCAGGCCACATCCAGCACCCCAAAACTCATCCACATCACAGGTGAAAAGTCTCCTGTCTTTCCTAACAGTCTGGGGCAATTTAAGGCTTTTTCGTGATGCACACTGGGCCCATCCTGCTCTGTGCAAAGCCCCTGAGCCTCCCTCTCCCCATCCTCCCCCGCACGTCATCTTTCGTTACTCAGTAATGTTATCCCCCCCTGTTTTCCCCCTTTCCCTGCATTTCTTTTCCTTTCAGCGGAAATTGTAATCAGTGGAAGATAAATACAGGGAAGGTGGCTGGGGGGAAGGCTCAGGAGCCCCTCTGACTTCAGGGCTGGCCAACCAAACTGGTCCCTTCAGCCCAAATGAACCCCCAAATTATACCTGACAAAGGCGAGGGTTTGGCTTTCTCCATAGCCTCCCCAAGCAGCTCTGGGACAGAACAATGATGGTGGGGAGCTGGTTTTAACTTTGTGCAATTACAAACTCTTATTCCTGGGAGCCCATTGGGCTGGGGAACTGGTTTCCAATTCCTCCATCAAGGTGTCAGCAGGTCTGGTTAAAGTCCTGCTGATGGCAGTGAGAGCACAGGGTGTCTTCAGGGGACCCAACTCATCCCCCTTCCCATTCCTTCTCTGATGCCACAGAGGACTTAGCCATGCTCATTTTTGGGAAGCTGATTTGGGGTTATTAAAGCATCTCTGATAGAGGAGATCCAGCCTGCCTGTGCACTGTAAACCTGTCAGACACTCACCACCAGCAATTAGGGTGGCATCTGTCTGGTCCCACAAGCCTGCAGTGCCAGAGCTAATGAGGAAAAGCTGTTGGTGCATTACCAGGGCTCATCCCTAGGCAGAGCAGAGGATCCAGGCAGGCACTCCGTGTGTGGAGCTGCCTCCCTGCCACAGAGAGATGCCCTGGAAAAGGTGTGCAAGGTCCCTCCTTTAAAAGCAGCAATAGGGGCTGAACAAAATTCCCCAGAGCTGGCATGGCCCAGGGTTTGCAGGTCTCCAAAATCCCAGGAATTGCTGCTGCTCAGACAAATCCTGATCCAACTCCAGTCTTAAACCTCGACCCCAGCCCCCTATGGGAAGCACTCAGCAGCACTTGTCTCCTGTGGCTGTTTAGCTCTTCCTTCTGTGGTTTTGAAGAGATAAAGACCAGCCAGAAATGTGGCCAGATCCTACAGAACTGGATTGAGAGTTAATTTCAAAAAACTTTCCTCCTCCTCCTTTCTCTCAGCCAAATTAGAGTGGGCAAGGGAGATCGTGACTATGGAAAAGTCCTGTAGCCAGGTTTAAATTGAGGATGAAGCCAGAGGAGGTTCATAAATTTTATTTATACATTTCCCAGGGTTCTGTTGAAACCATTGCCATTTTGGTGAGGGGCAGTGGGTGCCCTTGTGACTAGACTTTTTGAACCAAACCCTGATCTACCACTTCCCCAGAAGCCCTGTGGCATGGTCATAAACCCACAAGGAAACCTCTCACCCTGTTACATCCTGTAGCTCTTTCCCAGCCTGATGGTTCCCATTTCAGTCCCAAGCTCCCAGAAAACTCAGGGACAACCATGGCTGGACTTCATGTTTTAATCCAGCAGCTCGTTAGCTCGCTGAAGGAAAACAGGACCAAAAAAGGAGTTTAACTAAAAGGGGCAACTGGAAAGCAGAGACTGGCAGAACATTTGAAGCTGCAGGAGGAAGTGCTGGAGGGAATTCTGAGAATTTTATTTGTGAGCCTTTAGACACGATTGGTGGCAAAGGGCAGCCCGTGGTTTCCTGGCTGGGGAAAGGGTCTCAATCCCACACATATTTCAGGCACTGTCCATTGTGTCTTCACCCAGCCAAGAAGGCCATGTCCAAAATACAAGATCAAAGATTGCTGATGGTCAACCAAGGCCAAGTTGCACCTACAGCACATTAAAGACCCAGAGAAATGCCAGTGGCTGCAGAGAGGCCTTGGGAGAAGGGTGTAGTTGGGCACACAGGGATCCTAGGGACTAGGATCCTATGTGCCCAATGAAAAACTTATTGTTGGATGTTTCGTGGCTTGAATTATTCAGAGTTAAGGTACAAGAAGGTTTTTCTGGCCTTAAAGATCGTGGAGTTTCCTCCTGCTCAACAGCTTGATGGTGTCTTGAAAACAGCAGAGTTAATACCCTTTCCAGTAGATTTTGTTTGTTGCTCAAGCATTATCTGAAAATGCTAGACTTATTAAATAAGTATCACGATTAATATTATTAGCAAGTATTTAATTTGTGAGAATACTCCGGGGGTGGTGAGTTCTGCCACCCTGGCCTCTGCACTGATATAGAGCAGAAAGCCCCAACATACCCCTGCCATGAATCAGAATGTCATAAAATTATTAACATTTCAAATAATTCCAGAATGCTTTCCCACCAGTAGGTACAGATTGGATCCAGATGCTTTATTAACAGAAAGAACCATTAAGCAGTACCTCCACAAGGGAGAACGACAGCGAGTCGTGCTCCCCACGAAGCCTTTGCAGGCAGCTGACTGACTGGGTGTCTCGGAAAAAGGCTTCACAAAATTGCCCAAACCTTATGATATTAGTGACAAAGAGGAGATTAATCTCAGCCTGGCTGACAGCCCAAGATCAATACTGAGAAACCAGACTACACCCTCAGCTTCATGTTTCCATGAGCCAGCAAAGCCAGAAATAAACACTGCGGAGGCTGAGCCCTGCGAGACGCGGTGCCGCTCGTTCTGAGCTCTGAAGGGCAGGGTTGGAAGAGCAGATGCTTGGCTGCCGTCCTGTGTCACCTTGGGGACATGCCACAGCTGGGGCCTCAGGGGGTGCTGGAGGTGGGAGCTGAGACTCACATCTTGGGAGTGTTTTGGTGCTGAATTTTCATCACCATTCCTGAAAGCCTGACTTAAAATCTCAGTGAGAGCTGAGCTCCAGTTTGGATCGAGTGCGGCCCCAGAATACTGAGACAGGTATTCAAAATCAGGTCAGCATGGTTTCAGCCAGATGTGAAACCACCACAGGCTTTGGTGAATTTTGGGGTTAACCCTAAGCTCCAGCAGGCCCCAAAACAGGTTTTGATTCTCATGGGCCTCACAGGGTCGCACGTACCCCCACAGAGCCCCAGGTGCCTGGAGGGAGCACGGCTGGCACAGAGCAGGACATGCAGACCCCCAGGGGGGCTTGGGCTTGGCTGGGTTGTGGGGTCTCACATGGATCTGGCTCTCATGAGGCTTCTGTTCCTTCCCCACAGGAGAGAGCCTGAGCCCCAGCTGTGGGGCAGCCAAGAGGAAGAAGAAGCAGAGGAGGAACCGCACCACCTTCAACAGCAGCCAGCTGCAGGCTCTGGAGAGGGTCTTTGAGAGGACACACTACCCCGACGCCTTTGTGCGGGAGGAGCTGGCCAGAAGGGTCAACCTCAGCGAGGCCAGAGTCCAGGTGAGCACAGGTTTGTGTGGGACAAAACAACACCTCTGCCCTGCCCAGGCAGCAGCAGGGACTGTCCCCTCCCTTGTTTCATCCTGCACATCACCATGACCCACAGGACAGAGCCCTGGGACATCCCTGTGTGCACTGGGTCCCTGCTGACCACCTTTCCACCTTTCCCCCCACCTTTCCCCCGTCACAGGTGTGGTTCCAGAACCGGAGGGCCAAGTTCCGCCGTAACGAGAGGGCGATGCTGGCCAACAGATCGGCGTCGCTGCTCAAATCCTACAGCCAAGAAGCAGCCATTGAGCAGCCCATGGCTCCACGACCCACTGCACTGACCCCTGAGTATCTCTCGTGGACCAGCACCTCCCCGTACAGGTAGGTGGAGGCTCTGGAGGAGCTGGGGAAGAGGTGGCCACGGGGCAGGGCTGCCTAGAGACCGCTCCACTGCCACAGGAATGCAGCCCTGTGCCACTGCTGGGGATTTGGGGAGTTTTATGAGGCCGAAAGGAGCTCGTCTGACATCGCTTTGGGAACCATTGCAACTCTGTCTGAGCATCCGCTGCCCAACACTGAGCAGGCTTCCCTGTCTCCTTGCATTTCGGGGCTGGAGCAGGCACCCTGGTCCTCGCAAGGGATTTGCTTGGCCTCGTGCTGACCCTTCCCACATCTCGGCACAGGAGGTGGCATGGGTCCCTTCTGGTTCCCAGCTGTTCATGTTCAGCCATCACTTCCAAAAGCACAAAGCAGGGCCTCCTGGTGCATAGTTTGAGGGGTTCCCACATCCATCTAAGCCCATAAAAATGCTGAAGTCTTGGCTGTTCTTGTGAGAGGTCTCCAACAGGGAACAGCCAGCCTGGCCTGGGAAGCCAGCAGGACCACAAAGGGCATGGGGTCTTTTCCTGGGCCATTGCCTCATTGCTCCCTGCTCCCTCCCCGCAGCACTGTGCCCTCCTACAGCTCCAGCGGGACCGCAACGCCCACCCAAGGGGTGAACATGGCCAACAGCATCGCCAGCCTGCGCCTCAAAGCCAAAGAGTTCAGCCTCCATCAGAACCAGGTGCCGACGGTGAACTGAGCAGGGAAACCCCATCCCATGGCCTCCTCCGGGATACAGCGTGGAGCTCCAGGACAAATCCACTGCCTGCCCAACACACAAGCCACTCATCCAATGTCTCAGCATCTTCTCTCCTCTTCCCTTCCCTTCTGAAGGTAGAGTCAGTCCCAGGCCGAAGTGGCACATAATTATAGCCACATATGGAGCGAACTTGGTGAGAAACTTGCTTTTCCGCACACCCTTATAATAACGGCTATATATACACACATACCCCCCACGCGCTCTTTGAGGACAAACAGACTTGCCAAGGGAACAAGAATTTGCTTCCAAACATGGAAGGATCTTGGACTATTGGATTTGACCAATTTGGGTATCTTGCCCAGAGAGCCAAAGAGTTATTGGGTCTTCTCCTCCCGCAGGGACAGTGTGGGAGGATCACGGGCCCCCCTTTCCACCAGGCTGTGACTTGTGGCGCTCAACTGTGTGTGCCAAAGCTGATCCATGTGTTCGTTTCTTTGTGCGACCCCAGCCACAGTGTGGGGTTTGGGACTTCCCAAAGTTTGGGACTTTGGGAAGCCGATGGCTCACCCATGCCATGGCCAGTCTTGGCCAGCCCTCTGCACTGTGCTTCCTGCATTTAGGAGCTGCCTATGCTGATGGCATCGGGCTTTGTCCCTCGCCAGAGGGGCAAGCAGAGCTGCAGCACCTCAACAGACCCTCCTGGAGCCTGTGAGCTCCCCCGTGAGCTGGGGATGCGTCGCCAATCCCCAGGCAGGCACCACTGCCCTGCCTCGGTGGATTTGCCAGCGATTCTGCAGAGCCCCAGGTCATTGAGCAGGCCCAGGGAATGAGAAAATTGGAAAAAGCTGTTGGGTTTCAGCTGAGTAGGCGGCTCCCAGCGCTTCGTGCCAACGAAGGCTTCGCCTTCCGGAGGCACAGCCTCCCCGTCGGCAGCTCCGCAGATGTGCTCGGGGGTCTGGGGCCGGCAGCTCCATGGGGGGAGGCTTTTTTGGTTTTGCAGAAAGGAAATGGTTTCCCCCTCATCCCACCCTACTGCGCAGCCTAATGAGGTTCCAAGGTGAGAAGTGCAGGGGATGGACACGGGGTGGGCAGCCTGGTCCTAATCCATGGGACTGAGCTGTGGAGAGACGCAGCCTCCACCTTCCCCTGCCCGTTCCACAGCCAGAGTGCTGAGGTGTGGTGTCCCTGTGGACAAAGCCCACTGGAAACCAGATCACCCTTTCCTCACCCACTGGAAAGAGCCACCAGCCAAGCATGGGGACACCACCAGCTCAGAGGGGTGGCCTGGACAGAGAAGACACAGCCCTACTTCCCTGGAAGGGGCTGGTTTGGGGGCTGCAGCAATAGATCTGAGGACAAATAGAGCAGTTGCTGAGGTGCCTGCTCCAGGTAAACATCCTCTGGTTGGTGACACTGAGGCTGAAAGTGCCACAGCTACAAAGTGCCCACCTGAGTCCCCAGAGCTCCCCGGGACATCCTCTCCCATTCCCACTGGGACTCTCACTGAAGCTGCATGTGGGACCCAGTGGCTGTGACACCAGGGCCATCAGCTGCACCCCTGGCAATGCCAGCATGAGGGGACTCAGCCAGCACCCAGAGCTGGAGACCTGATGGGAGAACCATCTCCTCTTCCTGGGCATGAACAGCCCCTCCATCCTGCCTCCAGCCTTCTCTGCTCTACAGTGCAGCCCCCAGCTGGGAACAGCTACGTTCTCCCCCTCAAACCTGGCAGGCAGGGAGAGGGCACAGCCTGAGTGACACTGTCCACCTCCTCCAGGGAGCAGTGTCACCCACTGTCACCCCAAATACCCACCCTCTGCCCCCATCTGTATTTCCAGGGCTGGTATCCCTCCCATCTGTCATGCCAGCTCCCCACACTGCACAGAGACCTGCCAGGCCAGGGGGAAGAGGGATCCACTGTGGATCAAGTCATCCACACTGAGAAACACCACTTGGGGCAGGAGGAGGGGGCCAGGGGGTCCTATTCCCATGGAAAGCACAGGGCTCTTTTTTCGGTTATACAAGATGAAACCACAGGGATATAAATGTTGCTGCCTCTTTGAGAACATTAATGAAAATAAACCCATTTAATAGTTTGCAGATGCTGTTTCTGTAAACCTAAAAAAAGCAGGGAATAAATATTTCTTCACTAAATATCTATATGTATATATATATTTGAAAACATTTGCTCCTAATCTTAGGGCCCCTCCTTTGCTGTGCTTTTGGCAGCTTATCACAGCTTGTCAGTCAATGCTGAACTCACCAAGAAGAGATACAAATTGCACCCATGGAGGGGTAGCAGGACTGAGGGATTATTGTAATCTAAGCTCTCTCTCGCCCTTTCTATTTGTACATTTCAATTACTTGTAACAAGATCCATGGTGGATTTTTTTTTTTTCTTCTGCATGTCTGTGTTTTGGAAATTTTTGTAAGGTTTTTGTAAAAACAACTCTTGTGAAATAATGGAGGAATAAATATTTTACTGAGTAGAGACGTGTCAGTGCATGTGATAGGGACCTGAGTCTTCCATCACCAGCCACTGTGGTTTCCCCACCTGCCCTGGACAAGCAGCCTGGGCAGAAATTGAATTAAGAGGCAGCAAGGAGGGTCAGATTCTGCACAGAAGTCGAGCTGAAAGAGCCCAAAGGGTGGAAATAAACCATCAGATTGTAGAGCACTTTCCAGGGAGTGAAGGCCCACAGGTGCAGAGCAGGCACTGAGCACCCAAACAAGAGGAATCAATGGTCAGGCAAAGGTGATACCAAGTAGTTGAGGCAGCAAAGTTAAAAAGCAAAGTTAAACAGGGCTCCAGAAGCTCACAGTGCTGAGCTATCCAGCAGCAGATTTAATGCAATGTGGAGAGGTGTCAAGATGTGCCCAGGGGAAACTGCCCAGCACATGCTCAGACTGAAAGGCAGCGAGTCAAGTGGCAGGAATTGCTAGGAAATTGCTAGCTCTCTGATCTAGGCAGAAAGTGTCCTCACTGCACAAATAAAGCCTGAAATCCATTGTGCCAAGATATTGTGGAGATCAATGCTATGGTGCATTCAGATAGGGTAAGAAAGTTAATGGTGGGTGGGTGTGTGTTGGTGCAACACAAGGGATTGAGCAGGGATTGGCGGGGATTCAGCTGCCTGTGCAGAAATCTGCTGCCCTGCCGACTTCCAGGAGAGCTGGGAGGAGAAGGGACACCTGGGTTTCCCCTGTTTCTTTTACTTGCCTTCACCTGCTGACTTGCAGCAGCCTCCTGTCAGGCCAGCTCACATGGTGTCACTTACAGGATGGCTCTGTCACCTCCTCCTCCCCCCAGGCCATCCTCAATCCCCCACACAGCCAGGGGACCACGACGCTATCCCACAGACCCAGAGAGGCTCAGCTCCATGGGAGCCCAGAATCAGCTCCCTCCCAGCAGCAGCCTTTGTCCCTCCCATCACCAGTGGCCACTGGGACATGTGGATCCAAGGTTGAGGAAGGAAGGACCCCTAAACAATGCATTCCAGCTGTCCCTAGAGGGGAACAAGGCTCATCCCACACCATCCCTGCAGCACCCAGCAGGAGCAATTCCCCCATACTGGACATCACCCCAGGCCCACCATGGTCCCACACACTTGACCATCCCTGCCAAACTGCTCTGCTGCTGCTTTGTAACCAATTATGTATTCATTCAGTAAGTGGCTTGTAGATTATTAAGGCAAATTGTCTAACCTCCTGCATAAAGAATATCACCCAAGCAGCATCCTCATGTCCTCAGCACGTGGCCAGTGCAGAGCATCCCTTTGGAAAGCATCCAGCCCTGAGTCAAGAGACCCTTGGAAGTGATGAACTTACAGATCCCAGGGCAGATTCCTCCAGTGACTCATCACTGTTGGCTGCTGGAAATATGTCACTTATTTCCTGCCTGAACTGTCCCAACTTCAGTTCATCTTCCACTAGAGCAGAAGGTCTCAACCCATGGTCAGTCAGCTCCCAGGAGCTGGTGGACATCTGAGGGATCTCAAACCAGGGGACAGACAAGCGTGGAGAGCTGCAGCTCACCTGGCAGGGTCTGCACTCCATGGGGGAGGGAGATACTGGGGGCATTTTTCCTCCCTGGAAGGGCACATCCATCACCAGTACTAATTTCAGCAGGACAGCTGGTCTCCATCCATGCACTACGACTTTGGGAGTGTGGGAAGATTGCAAAGACATTTGCAAACTGTTTCCTTCCTCAAAGCAGTTGGTTTTCAACCAGGTGAATCCAAAAGGGTGGGTCTCAGGTGATGGAAGGATCTTTCTGGACCCCCTTCCTTGTTTCTGACCCCACAGCCTGACACATATGTGTGACTTGCTGACTGATGAAAAGTTGAAGTTTGCCCTTAGAATATTTTAATGAGAACAGTTTTGTGTTGTCATCAGCATCGGCTGCTACAGCAGCAAGACAAAACAGAGCTCACATTTTCCAGCTCACGGGGACACCCGCCTGGTTATCCCGGTCCAGAACGAATTACAGACAAATAGTGGTGACAGTATCCTCCTTTTCCTTTATCCTTGTGCTGCTGAGCCCTTCTCCCTCTGGTGGCAACGGGAAGATCTGAAGACCCTCTGAATCCTGCTGGCAGCATGCACAAACTGCAGGAACATGTTCCTATGACAGCACCGTGTCACCTCCCAGCAGCAGAGCCCCTCCTGCCCTTTGGAGCAGTGCTCCTGTCCTGGGGGTCGTGATGCTCACCCCAAACTCTACACTCCATATGGAAGGAGCATCTCCTCCCTGCAGCAGATATTTTGCTCGCTGCTGCTTCTTTCCAACCCCACAGGGAAGCAACCTAAGAGAAGCTGGAGGGTAGCTATGCACAGGGGTGTAATGCTTTATAGTTACTTGGGAAGAAGGGAGGAAGCAAAGGTCCCTCTTGCAGCTGGTGTCACAAAGCCCAGGAAGAGTTATCACGAGTAAGGAAGAACTCTTGCATGGAGATGCACAGCATTGCAGCCATACACCACAACTTCAGAAGCGGGGGAAGTTTGCAAGGATATTTACAAACTGTTTCCTTCCTCAAACCACTCTGTTTTCAACCAGGTGACTCCCAAAGAGCAAGTCCGCAGTGATGGGAGGATCTCCCCGGAACTCACATCGCACCTTGCCTGCTTTGGAGAGGCTGATGGGCGCTGGAGCAGACATCATCCTCCTCCTCCTCAACCCGTTCCCCAAGGAATGGCACCTTCCCTGCGCCCCGAACTCTCCACGCGCACCCCCAGCTCCAGGATGCGCGGGTGCGGTGTCCGGGCAGGGTCCCCGTGTCCCCGCAGGTCCCGCAGCCACACGAGGGTGCTGCAGCCCCGCTCAGCGCAGCCCGGGGCCGATCCCCCGGCCCACGGCTCAAGCCGGGGATGTCTCACAGCTCAGCCCCACATCGGGCTAGAAAACCCCCGCTGGAAAGAGTTTTCCCGGTGCCAACTTCATCCTGGTGTGCCAGAGAGCAGCAGGGAAGCGCCGTTGTCTTCTCCCCTTCGAAATGCCCATGGCTGTAGAGCCGGCTCCGTCTGCAAGTCACAGGAATCTCAATTCCTCAAGGGGAATTGTGGATCAAAGTCCCATCTGCTAGAGGGAATGGGGATGTTGGGCGGGCAGCAAAGGAAGAGCGATCTGTGTTAAAGGTAAGCTTTCCAAGAAGGAATCTTGGTCCAGATCCCACCAGGGAATGCTCTGGATGAAGAGAGACCCGGGAGCGGGGCAGGCAGGTGAGGAAGAGGCGTGAGCACAAGAGATGTGTCCGTGAGCAGGGCTGGGTGGATCCTGGGGCTTGAAGCACCCGAAGAGTGTGGGAGGGAAAGCGCCTTGTGCCGGGTCTCCACTTGCTTTTCTCCCAACACCGTGAGGGAAGACACGTACTGGTGATGTGAGTCACATTCACACATTTAACCACAGAACGGGGCGGAATGGACCTTAAAGGTCACCTACTCACATCCCACCCTGCCGTAGGCAGGGACAGCTTGAATTAGACCAAAGTTGCTCAAACAACCTGGCTTTGAACTCTGCCAGGGCTGGGGCATCCACAGCCTCTGTGGGCAGCCTGTACCAGTGTCCCACCACCCTCACAGGAAAAGAATTCTTCCTAAAGTCTAACTGAAATTTGTACCCACTTAAGCACCAGATTGTTGTTCTGCAGTCCCAGGTGGGTTTCACAGCGTTGCTGTCTCCTGTTTGAGCCAGGTGTGAAGAACAAGTTGTTGGACATACAAGGCACACACCAAACCCCAGAGACAGACTGGTGGGTGCAACCACTGTCCTTGCTCTCCTGGAGCAGCAGGAGACACTGGGCACGTCCTTTGCCTACATTGATGCCAGAGCAGGAATTTGGGAGCTCTGGGCTATAGATATCAGTTGGGAAAAGGCAGGAATGCCTCTCACATGCAGCAACCACTGGCAGTGTCCAGGGAAGAGCCAGTGGCTCTGATCACCTGGTCCCAGGAGAGCCCTGATGGGACTGGTGCTGCCCAAGCAACCGAGCCCAGCTTAGTTTTGCTTCCCCCAAACTTCCACAACACTTCAAAATAAGTGCAATTCCTGGGCCTCTCTTAAGTTTGCCTTGCAGGCTTTTTGTGTTTGTTTTTTTTTTGAGCCAGGAGAGTTCACATTCCCAAGCTTTTCCCTGCAGCCAGTAAGCAGAGTTTGTTTTTTTTTTTTTGTTTTTTTGTTTTTTTTTTTTAATAAAAAGGGAGAAAGCAGAACTTTGCATGTAACCTCAGCTTTCCTGAGCAGGGCATCAGCCTCAGGCACTGGACAGGCAGCTGAGAAGAGGCTGAAGCAGCTGGCAGATCTGGGGGTTGGAATGGGGTTCTGGAGCCTCCCTTCTTCCTTCCTATGCCAAAATCTCCATCCCAGCCACATCTCCAACCTCAGCAACATGTACTGGAGAGAGTCCATTTTATAAAACCACTGCCTTTCTCATTTGAAAACAAACAGGGAAAGAAAACAACCAAGTGGAGCCATTTTCTGAAACTAACACAGACAGGGCAGCACCTCCCAACCACCAACAACTTAAGAAAATAGGGGAAAACCAGAGAAATGAAGCATTTGTTTCCCAGCAACCTAGTGGAAAAAAAAAAAAAAAAGGGGGGGGGGTGGTTTACTTATCTTGGAAAACACAAGCAGCTCCTTTATGAGTCCTAAGAACAGAAAGAAGAGCAACCAGCTCTTACCTGAGTTTCTCCAACCCTCCAGGATTTTTGGGTGAACACCAAGCTTTGTAACAACTTGCTACTCAGGGAAGGGAAAGTGAGCAGAACTGCTTATAATTCCCAGCTCTGCTGGATTTAAAGGATCAGCACAAATAATGCACACCTGGAAAAGAGGTTCCTCTGCAGGGTAGGTGAGTGCAGAGGAAAGGGATGTCTCTTTAGAAGTCCCAGGACACTCCAGGCTCTACAGTGGGGTTTAACATCCTGCTGAGGACCCATCCTGCTGGGGCTGGGCCCAGCTGCTGCCCAGCTGCATCTGCTGCTCCCAAAGGAAGGATATATCAGAGCACAATGATTTGTTTTTATTGGGAATATTTGCTTCCTGCCACCAGGATGCATGTGCAGCAGCAGAGAAACATACAGGAGTGCAAGACCTTGTGCACCATGTGAGGCAGAAAAGATTTGTTAAGAGGGGTCTGTGTTACCCAGACATCTGTGGGAAGTGGCCAAGAGTGAAATGCTGAACCTGCAATCCTGCCCACCTTCCTCGCAGTGGGAGAGCAAAGAATTCCACTCCAAACTCCACCACACAGCTCAGCCTGAGGCCACAACTGCACTGGGATGGAGTTACTGGCACAGAAACTTCTACCTGAGCTGAGAAAAGGCTGGACATCAGTCTGAGCAGGTGTGTCCCCAGTGCTCAGTGGGGGCTCAGCAAGAGCATCCCTGAGGAGAGCAGAGTCAAGGGAGCAGCCTTAGTGCACAGGACAGGTGGAAGGGGAATTTATTTTCTGCTCATTCTGGCTTGCCCCTGTGCTGCTATTCAAATTCTGTGCTGCCCTCAGAGGGAGGAGGCACTGAAGAGCAGAGGTTTCTCCTGCCTTCTCCTCCAGAGGATGCTCCACTGCTGCTGCTGCTGGGAGCAGCCCTGGCACTGGGGACAGCTGTGTGGCAGAGCAGCTGATGGGCCCTTGTCACCAGGCAGTACCCTGCTCCCAGCTCTCCTCCCCAGCACCACACCTTTGGGTGACACTGCAGAGCAGCAATGCTCCCTTCAAAGCCCCTCTGCTCATTTCCAGAGCTTTCTGCAAACACCAGCTGGTCCGGGCTGTGAATGGCGTGGCAGCAGTGGACAGCAGGAAACAGCTGAAAGAAAACTTCCCTAAGGCAATCACAGCACATTTCCCAAATAGCAACGGGCCAGAGAAAGGCTACAAACAGAGGGGGAGAAACTCAGTCTGATGCCCTGGGGGCATTTTCAGGTATTAATGGCATGTGGACTAGACTACCCTTTGGGAGAAAACCCTGTCTGCAAACCCCATTTTGTGCCAGTATTTCAGACATTCCAGAAGTCCCAGAACTTTGTGTCCGGCAAATGCGTTCAGGCTGCGTGTCCAGGGTAAAGGATTCCTGCTGGCTTCTCCAGGCATGTCACTCTGCATCTTGCTGTGGTGAGGCTGAGATGGAAAAGCCTCAGCTGCTGCTGGCTGGGAGCTGCCAGGAGCTCCAGAGTCCTGCTGCAGGGAGCTGTGTGCTGTGGTGTGAGACGAGGTGGCACGGGGAGCACTGAATGGCTTCGCCCCTGAGATTTGGACTCCGCTGTCAGGCTGCCTGGAAGGCACCTGCCTCCCGTCCTCCTTGGTGGAGTGGGAACCTAAGGGACTAAATCCTAAGGGACTCACATTCCCAGAGATGCACATGGCTGGGCAGGAGCAGGGTGGCTGCTTTATAACCTCTGCTACCAACCACATCTGCTAAGAGACTTTGTGGGACCCTCACGATTTTCCCTGCCTGATCCATGGGATATTCATGACCAGGAGGAAAAGGTCTCAGTCACAGTTCCAAACACAGAAAACCTTTCCCTCAATGACCCCTTCTTCAAGGGGTAGTCCATGTGCTTTCCACCTCTCACCCTCAGCAGGAGAGAGAGAAACCTGCCTCCACATCCCCTTCCTGCACGTCCCTTCTCTCTGGTGACTCCTCTGACAAATTCCGATGGCGGTGGAATTTCATCAAGGCTGCACTGAACATCCTCAGGGTGCAGGTGACCTCCCTGGTGACATCTCACGCACACACACACACACACACACACACACACACACCCTCTCAGGGGGCCCAGCAGAGTCAGGATGAGGGGTTTGGGTGGTGGGTCTCTCTGGCTGTTACCAGTAGGGGCTGGTGGCCAGCAGGATCTGCAGGGCCATGGAGAAGCAGGGCAGCTGGGCCACGCTGTAGGCCACGGAGCGTGTGGGTGCCCTCAGCTGCAGGAGGTAGGCAATGGTGTGGATGATCCGTCCCACGCAGAAGATGAGGAAGTGGATCCTGGCCACGGTGGGACTGGGATCCAGCAGGGAGTAGATGGCTCCGAGGAAGAGGAAGGGGAAGATGTTCTCCATGTCATTGCGGTGGGCCCTGAAAAGCGAGATAAGGTTGTTCCTTCCCACCAGAATTCCCTGTTTTCTCTCATTCCTTCTAGCCAGAGTACCCATCCCTAGGTGCTGCTGGGCCTCTTCCCCACTGGATGGGGCAGACACAGCCCCCAAAAGAGTCAGTTCTCCCTCACACACAGAGGCAGGAGAATTTCACACCCTGTGTCTCTCCCTTGGGATGCTGAGTTCCTGAAACTTTCTCTCCGTGACTGGGATGCCTTTGCCACAGCAGATGACAGCTCCAGGGCTGGAGCTTTCAAATAAACAGAGCAAAACACAGACCCTGTGAAGCTGCAAAAAGCTCAAAACTGGTGTGGTGCCAGCACGGCATGGCCCCAGATGTGGCCATGCTACACAACAAAAGCAGTTCCAGACCACAGCTCCTCCAGTGGAGAAACTCACAGGATGAGAGGGGTTGTGGTTTCACCTCTCTCCATAAATGCATCCAAAGGGGATTGGGGAGGAGTGGCCCAGAGACCCCCACACTGTGGCTGGAGGGGATGCTGTGGCCGTGTGGGGACACATCAGCCCTGCTGGAGCCAAGCCCTGTGCCCCAGCTGAATGCACCTGCCTGGGTGTCACAGCGCCACTGCCACCACCCCAGCTCTAATGAAACAGGACCTGCTCGGGCCGTGAGTGTGGGTTGTGCCCCTCCTCCCCCAGGCATTGTCCTCTGAACAAGGACTTGGGGGTTCAGCAGGGCTGGAAAGACAAATGGAAGAGGAAGGAGGAGAAAGAAGAGAGCTGCGAGGCAGCCAGGGGCCTCTTTAGGAGGAACAGGGTAAATGTCCTGCCCTGTCCCTGCCCTGCACAGACCCCTGGCTCTGCTCCCCTCCAGATACAGTCTGAGATGAGAGGCTGACATTGCCCTTGCTCTGGGAAACACTTTGGATTGAATGTGTCTTCTCCAGGGCTGCAAATACATCAGCAAGGACAGACTCTGAGAGCTGCCCAAGTCAGATCCCAGGCTGCCCCAGGTTTTTGCTGCAGCTCCAGTTATTTATTTTTATGGAAGTTTGTTTATCCTGAATAATCAAAAGAAGATTATGATTATTATTTCTGCTATTATTTTATTTTTGCTAGGAAGGAAACAGCTCATTTTCCATCCTCTTCCTTCCCCTGGCAGCCTGGCAATTAGGTGGCACTGGATGTTTCCTAAAGCAAATGCTGGAGGCAGTGGGACATGAACAGTGAGGTCCCCATGGGCTCAAGGACAGCAGGGCACAGCTCCAATCCCTTTCAGCAATCCAGCCTAGTGCTTGGGCCACCTCCTTTGGTAAGGGGGACAGCAAATCAAGCCCAGGGCTGAATAACCCCATGTTTTACCTCTGAGAAACTGTGATTCTCACAGAAGAGGGGTAACATTCAGAGTGTGCCCAATCAGGGAGGCAAAAGTTATTGTAATCCTGTTCAGCCTTTTCCCAAATCCCCAAAAAGGGCAGCTGCCTACAGCACTGGGACCAGTCACTCTGTTGCCTGTTCAAGCTGTTCAGGGATGTGGAGTCCTGTTAGAGCAGGACACAAAGAGCCTTTGAGTGTGGGTATGGGATGAGACACTGGGAATCTGTGGGACTCTGAGCACCTAGAAAAGAGCTAGTCAGAGTTGGATGTAGAATGCAAACCCAGATCATTTTCTTGCCCTTGCTCCAGTGCACACCATGGTAAAGATTAAACTGCTCTCGTGCTCAGGGTCCCATAGCAGAGCTCGAGGCAGTCTGACCATCTAGAATATTACTCCATTAGCGAGTCCTTTAACTTCCCACTTCTTGTTTGCCAGCAACTGGTGCAGAGGGAATGGTGGCACCAGGAATGCTGGCACCAGAGGGAATGGTGGCACCAGGAGGAGTAGTGACACCAGGAGCAATGGTGACAGCAGAGGGAATGGTGGCACCAGAGGGAATGGTGGCACCAGAGGGAATGCTGGCACCAGGAATGGTGGCACCAGAGGGAATGCTGGCACCAGGAATGGTGGCACCAGAGGGAATGGTGGCACCAGAGGGAATGCTGGCACCAGGAGCAATGGTGACAGCAGAGGGAATGGTGGCACCAGGGGGAATGGTGGAACTGGGAATGCTGGCACCAGGAATGGTGGCACCAGGGGGAATGCCGGCCCCGCTCACCTGCGGCACCGCTCCACGTCAGGGTCCTCGCGGCAGAACTGCAGCCCCCCGTTGCGCAGGGCGTCCTCTGGGTTTGCAAATGCCTGTAAGACACAGTCCCCACCTGCTTACAGCCTTCAGGACCTCACAGGTAGAAGCTTTGCCCCTAGTCTTGAAGTCCTGTGGGGATTTTACCTGCCCAAATTTGTTACCACTCTTCATAAAAACAAGGGTCACTGCACTTCCATGCACACTGTCCTGCACCTCCCCAGGAGTTTTCCCTGTCCTCCCAAAAACCCAGTGCTGCCTGCTGGGCAGGTCCCAAATGAGGGTTTCAAGGGAGCTCTCACCTCACTCCCATCCACTTCATCCCATGAAACCCATTTAGAGGAGACTTTCCAGGCAGAGACATCGCTGCTGGCAGAGAGCTTGCAGACAGAATGCAGCCTCCAAAAGATAACCAGGACTGACAGATTACAGAATATTCCCTGGCTGGCTTTTTGGCAGTGGCACTGTGTGGCTTTCCCACAGGGAAATGGGATCCTACACTAATAAAGTTAAAAATGAAAATGATTTGTGTAAGCTCCTCACCTATGCTCAGAAGCTGTTCCTCAGGGACCTGGCTACATCTGACAGCTTCATTTTGCAGCCTGGAAAGGGCCCTGGTGCTTTCTTTAATTATGTTACAAGCCCGAACTGTCCCAGGGCTGGAGCATCATTTAGAATCACAAGGGAAGAAGACAATTAATCAGATAAAATGATGCCACAGCACAGGGTATTTGTATTCTATCTGAGACCAGAAATGTCTCACTCTCCACTGACACAGTCAGAAACTCCTCAAATACTTTAAAACAGATTTTACAGAAAGCTGGGTTTTATCAGGAGTTGGGGTGAGGGTAGTAAAAGTCCAGTTGGCCCCAAATCCTGACAGCAGCTGGTCCTCCCTGACCAAGAATCATCTCCTCCAGCTATTGTTTCATTGCCCACAACTTGCTGCTTTCCTGGAGCATTCCCATAGCCAGCCAGACTCCAAAAGCTTTCTGCTACATTGCAAGAAAAAAAGATCATTGCAATGATTTCTTAAACTTTTTTTTTTCTCTTCTTTTTTCTTCCAGACCCTGCAAATCAACTGTAAACAGACTCCTTCTAGAAGCATCTCACCTGCTTGGCATTTTAGATCTGATTATTATTTAGATTAGGTTTCCAAAATTATAAACATCAAGCTACAGATGGTAGAAACAAACAGAAAGGGTCAAAGAGAAGTGAGATATTTATCTGCTGCAGCTATGAAACAAGTTTTGCTTTCAACTGAAGTCAAAGAAAACTCAGCTTGCTTCAGGAAAATTTTGCTGAACTTTTAGAGGAATAAAAGAAGAAAGCAAAATCACAGAAACCCAAGCGAAGAGCCAGAAAGGGAGGAGAAGAAAACGAAACTGGATCTTACCTTCTTTCTGAGTCTCACTTGCCCCGTAATGATGGCAACGACATACATTTTTAAAATCAGAATTGTGCTGTAGAACGTGAATGACAGGAACACTTTATTCTCCATCATTTTGGGAGAACGTGCTGCTGGGCACCAAAGCCAGGGGAGATCTTGGGCTGCGAGGGAGCCCCTCAGGAGAGAGGCAGGAACAGCTGCGTTCAAACACAACACAAATCACTCATTTTCCAGCCCCTGTGCCGGGACAGCGAGCAAACCCCAGCCAGCACATGCAGCAGCTTCTGCTCCTCACACCCTGAGCTGCCGAGGCAGCAGGGGTCGGGCACGGAGCTCCGACCCCTCCAAAGCAGCCCGGACCCCCGCCCCAGCCCCGCGGTGCCCGGGGACCGAGCCGCGCACAGCATCCCTCGCCCGGCCGGGCGCTGCTCACCCGGCAGCGAAGCTCTGCCGCCGTGGAAGGAGGAGTTTGGTGGAAGGTAAACCCTGCCCCAGCCGTGGCAGTCCTGCCTGGAACCCACTCCGGGCTGCGCTTCCCGTCCCGCCCAGCGATGGCTGAGCGCTCGCTCCCGTGGCAGAGGCGGCCAAGTCTTTCCTGCAGATCCACCTGCGACGGATGGACAGGGGACACAGCTGTCCCTCGGCACAGCAGCGCCCACCAGCCGGGAGCCTGGGCTTCCCCCACACCCCCGGATGGGAGGGGAGCCCCGGGAATGACCAGCCTGGAACCGCAGCCAGGAATATCCTGGTCTGCAGAGCCCCAAAACTGCAAGAAGTGAAGAGCTGCTGGTCCAACCCAAAGAAAGCTTGTTCTGAGACGAGGAACCAAGGCAGCCTGATGGAATTTTTGGTTTAGAAAGTGCCATGTGAATTTGGAGCTGGCTTTTCATCAGCCATCAAACATTGTGGAATAAAGAGTGGGATCGGAGCCTCTGCAGGCAGCTGGGCTGCTATTTAATGCAAGTTTAACTCCTTCTCCCTCACTGCTAGCAGCTGCAAACCTCAGGGAGCCAGAGGTGTGGGGGCTGACAGGAGCTCTCCAAGTTTATTAGAGTGGAAGGGCTGGATTTTGTATTTATTTCCTTAACACAGGAAAAAAACAAAACAAAACACCAAACAAAACCAACAACTTATTTTTGAAAAAGAGAAAAGTTCTTTGCATTTGCCTCTGAATGTTCCTCGTGGCCTGGTGCTGCAAACCCAAAGACACTCCACTGTTCCATGCAATGCTCTGGCTCAGCCTCATGATATCTGAGTGTGTACATGGGAGCACAAAGCAGTGAAGAAAAGGCAAAGCTGGATGTGCAATGGGACCTGCAGTGCAAGCACAGGAACTGGACGTAGCTCCTGTGATTTGTGTTGCCATGGCATGGGGGTGAATGGGGAGTGAAGGCCGTGTGGTCTAGTTTTTCTACCCGATACCCAGAAAAGTTTTGACAAACCAAAACTTCCTACCAATAAATATTCTGTACAACACGCCCACAAATAACAGAACTTTTGATCACTATAGTGGGTAATAAGAGGGAAAAGCTGGCCAGTTTAATATCTAGCTGGCAGACAAGAATTTTACTTGAAATTCCAGGAACAGTTTGACAGATTTGTCCTCTCCCACCCTACAAGGGTCATCTTTTGGTAAGTCTTGTGTCCTCAGAGAGTTAACCTGGGAAATTAAGATTGTGATTACCATTGTATTGTTAGCGCTCTATAAAGCCGCTCTGCAGTTCAGGCATTTGTCATGGGCAATCCAAAAGAACCGTATATGTGACATTCTATAAACTGTGCTGTTCCTGAACCCAGCTGGCTCTTCTGAATGTGACCAGACCTATAGTTCACAGACTAGTGGTGCACCTGGCATGCAGCCTTATAGTTACGGTTTTTTAGCAGTGCAGAAAGCCTTTGAAAACCCCAAACACTTGGTTTTAAGGGGGAGGTACTTGCAGTTGGTCACCACTACCCTGGCACTGGGGAGGCTGCAGGACAAGTCCTGGCACAGCCCAGTGTGGAGCTCTGCAGCCTCTGGCAGGCTGCTTCCCTGGGGGTGGGAGTGGGGACACCGGGATGTGCAGCAGCCATGTGGATTCAGGCTCTGTGCTAAGAGCCGGGGTGTTCACCAGTGAACCACATCCAAACCCACCCACGCATCCCTGGAGCTTGTCAGGGTACTATAAACACCATAATGCCAAGTGTAAATAGGCAGTGGCAAAGCCACATCCCAAACACTGCTCCCTCCCATCCCTCCTCTCCACAGCTGATAGGGATCAACCCACAGCAGAGAAGACCTCCGTGCCCAAGGACTGGGATTATGCAGGGCCAGACCAGCCCCACAGCAAGGATGAGACATTCTCCAGCAGCACCTTCTCCCAGGAGCCTGGGACAGGGCAGGCAGCCAGACCCTTCACCAACATATCACACCCTCCATGCAGCAGCTCCAGTTTTTACCAGCTGATGATCCAGTCCACGGGGTCTTCAGCAGTGGGACCTTTTTCCTTCATGCACCTTCTTCCCCTCCCAAGGCAGCCAACACCTTGCTGAGCAGCAGGAATATGCACCTGCAGACAAGCCAGGACTCCTCCTGCCAGCCAGCCTTCTCCTCCTTGGCACGGCTCAAACACTGGCAAGGAGCCCTGGACAATTTGCACCAGCAACTGGCACAAATTTACATTGAACAGAGAGATCAGGAAGCACACCTTGTTTAGGGATAAACCCTCAGGGCAAACTCTGGTGTGGATGTGTTAATTTTAAAAAGTTTTTTTTTCTGTGTGTTTATGCATTTCAAACCCATTTCAGTGTTACACAGAGTGGAACCCCAGAGGGGAGGGTTATGGATGGAGATGAGGAGCAGAAGATGACTGCAAAGGCAGGTGTAATCTCCTGGGATCCCAGCTCCTTTTCAGTTTACCAGGTTCAGGGCTCTCATGCTGGGTAGAACACATCCACACTTGCACCTTCCTGGCTTTTGAGACCCAGCAGCTGCTGGAAGCATGTTCAACCATCCCATTAATCTATGCGGAAGCAGGCTGTTAATATTAATGGTTTGATCCTCCTCCACAGATCACATCCTGCCAGGACAGAGCCCTTGCCTCAAGAAGGCCAGGTCCTAACAGTATGTCTTTAAACTACAAGTCATGCTTTAAAACCTTGAGCATGAGAGGTCTCAAGCCAGGACAAGATCTACCTAACTCCAACACTGTTAGCCAAAAACACTGCATTTTTTTTTCTGAGAAATTATTAATAAAAATATATGAGAGGCTTTGAAAGATTAGGTCATCAGGTTATACTGACCCCAGGAGCTGTAGGGGAAAAATGCAGCATTTTGCTGGAGGACGAACTGAACTGTAGGAAGCAGAAGGAATGAAAAATTAATGGGAAATTCTCAAGAAAAGTACTTAAAAATAGAAGCCTGTAAAAGCGATTCTGCTTTGGCAAGATTATGGAATAAAAATCACTCTCGATTCCCACATAGGTTATTTATTTGACCAACTGAATTGCACTACAGTATTGTGACTACATTTTTCCACTCTTGCTCCTCTGGGGAATTTCCCGGTGGCAGCAAAAGGAGGGAGGTGGTTCAGTGGAGCACTGGCATGTCCGCTGGGGTGGCACAGCCTGGACTCCACCCTGGTCCCAAAGGGAAGCCGACACTTTGAGCAATTACAGCTCAGATTCCCCAAAATTTTCCCTAAGGAGCAATTACATCCCACAGCTGGGGCTAAGCAAAGAGCCCGAGGGGACTGCTCCAGGCTGGAGAAGATGGGCAGGTGGGTGGCACTTCTCCAGCATCCTTCCACATGCTGGTGGAGAAGGTGCAGAGCCCAGCTGGGATTTTGCTTGCCCTGGGCACACAGCTCAGCCCAGGAGCTGAGCTACATTCCCAGCTTGCTGCAATGCTACTGTGTACACTGGTGCCCTCCTGCCCTGCCATTTCTTCCTGCTGCTCCCAGCACAAAACCTTGGAGCCTGCACACTCCAGTGATCACCTGCACCCATCCTGGGAAACCCAGCTGCCAAGGGAGGCTGTGCTGTGCTGGCTCATCAAACACGATGACTTTTCAAGTAAAGGCATGAGCGTTTCAGCTGTTTATTAGCGAGAAGGGTGCTCCACCTGCCTTCCCTCCTCAGTCTGCACGAAAGCTCCCACCACCATGACGCACCTTCCATGGACCTGTGAAATGCTCTTGCTTCACCTGCAGCTCCTATCCCCAGACTCCTGGGCTCCTCATGCTTGTTTCAGCAAGCAGGACACAGAAGATACTGCAAAGTCAGTAAGCAGTGGAACCACCAGCACCTCTGGCCCCCAGCATTAGCATCTGTTGTGGTTTGACACTGGCCAAACTCCAGGCACCCATGAAAGTCACTCGCTCGCCCTCCCCTGCCACAGCTGGGCAGAAAGAGAAAATTAACAAAGGGTTCATGAGTTGAAATAAAAACTGGGAGAAAAACTTCAAGGGCAAAATAGGCTCAGCTTAGAGGTACAAAGTGAATTTATTCCTAACAAAATCAGAGGAGGATAATGAGAAATGAAATAAGCCCTTAAAAACATCTTTTCTTCCTCCAACTCCTCCCTTCTTCCCACTCACAGTGCAAGGAGACAGGGCATGGGAGCTTTGGTTATTTCATCACTGAGATTTTCTTCCACTGCTCAGGGAGAGAAGTTGTTCCCCTGGGAGACTGTGGGGTCCCTCCCACAGGAGACAGTTCCCCGTGATCTTCTCCAGAGGGTCCACTCTCATGAGCAGCATTCCTTCCCAAACTGCTGCAATGTGAGTCCCTTCCTGGGCACACAGTCCTCCCAAAACTGCTGTGGCATGGGTCACTTTTCCACAGGGTGCAGTCCTCCAAGGAGAGCCTGCTCCAGCCTGGAAGCAGGGCCCTTTCTCCACTGGATCTCCCACTGGGTCACAGCCTCCTCCAGGCACCCACCTGCTCCAGTGTGGGCACCTCTGCCACAGGTTGTGGGTGGATCTCTGCATCCCCCCTGGATCCCCACGGGCTGTGGGTGGATCTCTGCATTCTGATGGACCCATGAGCTGCAGGGGCACAGCTGCCCCACCACGGTGATCACCACGGCCTGCAGAGGAATCTCAGCTCGGGCACCTGGAACATCTCCTCCCCCTCCTTTTCCACTGACCTTGTTGTTTCCATGTTGTTTCCCTCACATGTTCTCACCTCCTCCTCTTCTCTGGCTAGAAAAAGCTGTGTTCCCCACTTTGCTTTGATTTTCTTCTCAAATATGTTATCAGAGAGGCATTACCATCATCCCTAATTGGCCCAGCCTTGGCCAGCAGCATGGCCATCTTCAGAGCCATTAGGAATTGGGTCAGAGCCATCAGGGGAAGCTTCTACCACCTTCTCACAGAAGCCACCTCTGTGACCCTCCTGCTACCAAAAACCAGGCAGGGGAAAACCAGCATCTCAGGAAACAACTGGGATGTTTCAGCCTTCAGCAAAGTCAGGCAGATTTTGCCTGGTTTGCATTTTAAAGTGAGAGTACTGGCTGCAGCTATCTGAGAGGCCTCAGGCATGAGGAATGTACATCAGACTCTCACGAAAGCTCCCACCACCATGACGCACCTTCCATGGACCTGTGAAATGCTCTTGCTTCACCTG